GTGCAATCCCGTGTGGCTTGAGGACTGAGTGTGTGTGACTAATAAACAAGGCAGCTCTCATCTGTCCGGGGGTATGTGCCCTGCCTCTCCAGGGTGACCACACCCTTCTCAGTGGGATGGGTAAGAGTAGCAAGGGCGACCTCCCACGGTCACTCACATGAACACTTGTGCAATCCCGTGTGGCTTGAGGACTGAGTGTGTGTGACTAATAAACAAGGTAGCTCTCATCTGTCCAGGGGTATGTGCCCTGCCTCTCCAGGGTGCGACCACACCCTTCTCAGTGGGATGGGCAAGAGTAGCAAGGGCGACCTCCCATGGTCACTCACATGAACACCGAGTGCTCCCAGAGCCTCAGCTCAGTCTGTTCCTCAGTGTGGGCCTCCGGTGCATCCTGCTGCAGCCTCTGCCTCACGCCCTGCACGCGCTCCTGGTCCCGCTCCCGCTCCACTCCTGCGTCAGGGTCAAGCTCTGCAGGCGCCTCAGCTCGTCCGTGGCCCTCCCGGACAGTGAGATCGTCAGGGCCTGGAGGTCTTCCAGAGCAGCCTGGTCCAGGCGCTCCTGCAGCTCCTCCAGGGCTGCGCTGTGCTCGGTCACCACACTCCTCCACTGCTGCAGGTACTGGCCTACGTCCTCGGCCGAACGGGAGGCCTCACCAAGGGACAGCTGCTCCTTCTGCTGCTCCTTGTGCTGGCAGAAATGTGAGAGAGCACGATTGGATGGGGCAGTCACAGGGACGTGGGTGCAGGGGTGCGGGGGTGCAGGGGTGCAGGGACATAGGCATGCAGAGGTGCAGAGGTGCAAAGGGTACAGGGCACAAGGGAACCAGGGCTCAGGGGCACAAGGTCACGGGTGCAGAGGCACAGGGGTGCAGGGGCACAGGGATACAGAGCTCTGGGATCACACTTTGGTTACTTATGGGGGCACATACACCAACAGCTTCATAGTTAGAAAACTGTCCTTGGCAAAATCAAACCGCAGACTCAAGTGACATGGGTCTGTCACCCCAGCCATTCAGAAGACTAAGGTGGGAGGATCTTTACTACAAGGCTAGCCTAGGCAACTTAGAGAGATCCGATCTCAAAGTTAAAAGTAGAAATGAGAGCTTGGGATGTAGCACAGTGGTAGGGTGCTCCCCTAGCATGTGTGCGGCCCTGGGTTCAATCCTTACCACTGCCCCTCCACATATATAATATGGTAAAAAGATTCATGTTTGGCAAACAGGTATTTATTAACTAGGTAAAGCCCAGGAGTGGTTCTAATCCTGGCTCTCCCATTCATCAGCTAGGTGCCTGACTCCTTATGCCTCTACTTTTTAATCTGTCAAATGGTGCTAGAAACAGTACCTATGACCCCTCTTTGAGTTTCTCCATACATGCTCATCTCTTAGGAAAATGTCTGGTGCAGAGATCACAGCAACATACACGCACTGTTAGCCCTACTACATGTCAGATAGTAACTGAAAATCATGATACTCTAAACAGGTAAGACAAACCCCGAAATCCACAAAAGACAACTTAAGTGAGAAGGTCAGCATATGCCTCTTAAGGAAGAAGACCTAGAAGATGAGATCTTGTCTTAACGAAGGTAAGAAGTGGGGAAAGAAGATCCTGGGGGAAAGAAGAGCAGGTGTTAAAGCTCTGTGGTGGGAAATACCCACCCTGCATGAAGATGTCCATCAGTGGGTCCACCCACAGTCTCGGGTCCATTTTATGAGAACATTTTATTCCTTGGTTCACGGGTCCTGGTGACCAGAACATCTATTCATTAAATCCCCAAATATTTATTTACCACTTGTGTCAGGCCAAGTCCCTGGCACTGGGGACCCAACACAAATTCTAACATTCACGAAACCGTCCCCTACTTCTGAGCTACTCACAATATTTATCAAAAGCAACTGCTGGAAATAATATTTGCAAAGGCTTCCCAAAACCTTTCGTGAGGTCTGGAGTCAGGCCTTCCTTCCAGACCTCCGATGGCAGGCCATCTAGGAAATGGGGTTTACAGAGGCCCAGAGCGGAAAGGGGTGGTGCTGGGGGTGAGGTACACGTCAGTGGTCACGCTCAGACCTCTAGCTTTTGGTTGGACACACAATTTGGTGATAAGAAGCAGTTTCTAGGCGGGCTTTCTTGATTAGCGCTGCTCTCAACCTTAGAGAAGCTTCTGGGAGCAGTGATGGTGATTACTGCAGAGACTCACAACTGGTCTCAGTGCAAGAGAAGTGCCTGCAGAGTGCTCACTCCCAAATGTGACGTCACATCGCACCTCCTCCCACCAGGCTCATGAAACACTGAGGAAGAGGGGCCAAAAGGTGGCAAGAGCCGGAGAGCGCAGAGGAGAGCTGTGAGACGGTACCGAGGAGGCTGCACTCACAAACTGTCAACAGCCACGGTCGCCTTCACAAGACCAGCGTAAGACCAAACCGGCCAACATCTGGCACAGATGAGGGAGGGGCTCACAGTGCCCCACTCTTAGCTGAGGAGCTACATGACAGCCGTTGGAGAGAATCAATTTTCTTCGGGGATGTGGCCCCTGGTATGTTCCCATGCTCAGCGGTCAGCCTTACTGCCTTTGGGATATAAGAAACACTGATTTGACTCAGTAAGCTATAGAAAAAAAAAATAGAAGAGGATGTGAAATTTATGGGGATGTGGGGTGGTATCTGGGAGTAGCTGGAAGGGAAGGTGAGGGGTGGTTATAATAAAAATGTATTGTATTCACGTACAGAATTCTCAAAGAAAAAAGAAGCCATTTCTACCTAGAAACCTGAAGTCAGTCCACCCTTCCTCTCTTCCCCCTCAGTGTGCTTGACAGCCAGGTCTCCAGCCCATTACCTCATGTCAAACTGTGGTCCCTGAGGCCCATGTGACCTCCGAATCTGCCCTGACTCCTCAAAGCTCAGGATGGTTGGTCAGGTCAGGTGCCTGCAAGCTTTCACCTGCAAAGTGCTAGAACTCTCTGTGGTTCTGCTTTCCCAAGCTCCTCCTACAATCTGATGTCTCCTTTTCTTCCTGAAAGCCTTGTAGCCTTCTTTTTGGTATGGCAGTAGAGGCTCGGCACACCATGCCTGCCTGACTTGGCACTATTTCTGGGCAGCTCACCCCTCCTAAGTCCAGCTCTCTCTGTATTCAGAACTTCCAACACAGTACTCACCCTGGCCTTAGCACCTGGAATTGGAGCAGGATACTGCCCTGCTTCCTACAACTCCACACACATACCCCTTGCCTGTCTTAGACACACACTTATCCTCAGGACCCAACTCTGCCACCCCTGCTCTGGACAGTCTTTCCAGGGACTGCCACCTCTGTACCTGGAGAAGTGAGCTCCATATAGCTGGTGTTATATGTAACAGGACCGTTTGCATTTTCACACGTCGACCCCTCCTCCCTTGAGGCTGACAGGCAGATAGATGGGTTCATATCAAGGATAAGGCTTGGGTCCTGAGACAGATGCCCGGCCTCACATCCTGTCATCACACACTCAGTGTTTAACCTGACCACATGATACAAGCTCTCAAAGCTGTAGTGTCTTCATTTTTCTTCTTACATGGAGCAATGGTAACATCTTCCTCATAGGGTCAGTGTAAGGGTTGAAGACACTGTCTTCTGTCAGTGACTATACCCCTGTCTCTTTTCTCTCCCTTTACCTCCATGACTCCTTTCCATTTTCCTGGCTCCTGCAGTTACATCAGGATGTGTACTCACATACAAGGATTTAGTACTAAGATCCACAAATGAGAGAGAACGTATTTCACCACAACTGGCCGAAGTGTAGAGAATAAGAGGCTGCATAGAACTTGTCCCTGGATATGACATCAAACGTCCCCCACCCATGGCTCAGGGACCATTGCAGAAGAGAAGCTGGACAGAGTATAAGAGTCAGAGGGGTAGATGTCCCAAGGAAGCAGACTTACAGGCCCCTGGAAACTTCCTCAGATGAACTTACATAATGAGGACAGCACGCATAGACCCATGCAAACTCAATCAGAACAAAAAAACCCAGGATAGAACTGAGGAAGCGGGCAGGAGGCCCCAACGTTAGCAGGGGAACTGATTACTGCTGGGTGAGGGAGAGTTGATCTTCTTTAAGGGAGAGACTCTAGATAGGCTGACCAGACCCCAGTGGATGAACCTGCACTGAGGGACGTCTGGGTAGACTAACTTGACTCGACAGGCCTTAACATATAAGACAGAACACATGAAATCTGGTGGGCGGACTTTGGGAGTGTGGATGGGGAAGGGGTCTAAATATGATGAAGATATAAGAAATGCACAAAAATTCAATAAAAAATATACATTGAGAAAAAAGGCATTGTCACATATAACACATAGAGCACAGTACTGATTAAACAATAAACACCTTCACCTACCGACATCCTTACTTAGACCAGACTCTGATTTCTTTGCCCATGCAGACATTACTAGCCAACTACATACCTCTGCTGTACTGAGGCAGAATAGGACCACAGAGTCCCTCTTCTAGCAACATTCTGAGAAGTCACTACTAATCAGTTGTAGACAGCACATCATACCACCCGATCCCCTCTTCGTGTGCTGGTAGCAATGTCTGCCGCTCACTGGGCGCCTGGGAAGGTCCTCAGGGGTAAAGAGCAGAAAGCCTACATACCTTCTGCAGCAGCTCTTGTCTCCTCTTAGCTATTAATTTTTGATGGAGCCTTTTCTTTTCCTGCTTTAAGTCGTTGTCCAACTTCTGTTTTACAGAAAAGACCTCTGTCTGCACACGCTCCAATAGCATTTCCATCTGATCTTCGTCCAAGTATCCTGCCCTGGATGGAGAAGATGAACAGTCAGGGAACATGTGTTCCCGGCCCACCACAGGCTGGACTGCTGCTGTTAGCTACCGGTTAGTGTGACATAACTGTGACACCAGAGCAAGGTCAGGGTGTTTGGTGATGGGAGGAGAAAGCCCAGAGATCTGTTAGAAATCTGCAGAAGTTCTGGGAGAAATAATGTCTGCAGGGAACTTTCCAACAGGAAGCAGAGGACTAAGTATCCTCAGGAGCTGGGGAAGCCTAAGAAGGACTGTGGGAATTTGCCTGGGTGACAGC